TAAGTTTTCGATTTTTGGGGGTTTGTCTTTTTTGAGCATTCTGGGGGTATTTTTTAGTTTTCGTCGAAAATCCTCCTGTAGGGGGAAACGCCAGACATAAGCCGAGTGCGTTGCACTGCTCGCAAGGTGCCTACTCGCAAACGTCAGGAAAAAAACGCATGTCTGCTTTGATGTAATGTATCGTAGATTCCCCGCGGGGGATCCAGGCCATTTGCGAGCAGTTACTCTGCGAGTGGTGGAACGCGCTCGTCGAGTCGCCAGCGTCGCCGTCACTCGGCATCACCCAACCATCCCGATGCTATTTCCGCGTCGCCCCCAAGAGGGGGGACGCGCGGCTCAAGAGATTATCGAGCGTATGCTCGGCGGCGGGTGTTTTCTGGCCGCGACGCTGGGGCAAGGATATTCCCCAAACAGTGCTTGCACTGAGGGTTTCCAATTTTTTTCTGAGAAGCTGGGCCTGCCGTCGCTCCGCGCTGTCACCAGTCTCCGGTCTTGGAAGCCATCTTGGGGCTATCTAGCGCTCTCTTGTTGCCCCTGCCCGTCTTGGGGGCATCTTGGAGGCCATCTTGAGCAATCTCAGAGCCATCCGCAGCAGATAAATCCTTGCCAGCCGGGTTTGGACGAGTTCTCCCAGCGGCTGGCGCGCTGGGCCGAAGCCCAAGAACCTAGAGCCAGCAGACGTCTATCACGCCATGCACCCCTGTGATACGTCAGCAGGAGGCGGCGGATGACGGAAAGAGCGATGTACGAGCAAGAGACGTTTCGCAGGGGGCGAAGCCCTTATGGGGAGGGGGTCTGGGGGAGGGGGCTAGCGGGGGAGCAAAAGTCTAGTTGCTCTCGCGCCTCGTTATTTTGTCGAGTGAAGCGGCTCCCGGGCGGCTCCCATGGTTCGTTTTTTCGTATCTGTTCGAGTGACGCGGCCCAAGGGCCCTAAGACGGGCCAAGAGGGCCCCAAAGCGGCTTCAGAGGGCCCCAAGACGGCCCCAAGAGAGCCCGCAGCCATTTTGGCTCAAGGGCCCGTGTCAGATGAAGTTATCCGCCGCGTTAGTGTTTTTGGGCTATGTGCGGATTGATACATGGGCAATGGGTGAATCAAGGTCTAACTCAACGGAAAGGGGTGCAAGACTGTGGCTTCATGTGGGCCCCCACAAAACTGCTTCGACAACAATTCAGAAACAACTTGCAGCTTGGCAGACCTCTCTAACAAGTGACGGCTGGACGTGGGAAGACCCTGCGCAGTTCGGACACATTATGGATGTACGAATGACTCAAATCGCGAATGTTGCAGAGTGTTATCTGTCGTCCACGTCCAGGTGGAGCAACTACACAGAAACAATTTGTTCAGATTGGCTGCACTTTCTTGACCAGCTCAAAGGAACTTCAAAAAAGGTAGTGATGTCTAGTGAGCGTTTCGACCAGATCAATGACACCAGCGTCGCACAGCTCGCGTTTGACTTAAGCTACATCAGTACCACCATCGTGATGGTTTACCGACCATTTTACGATTGGATCGCAAGTTGTTATCGGCAGCTCAAGGCTCACGGGCAGGTTGAATTGGCCTTCGCAGATTGGCTAAGCGTTTCACAGATGGAGTACTACGCGTACAATTACTCATTCACGACTTCTCTACATAGTCGCTACGCCGCTCATTTTTCTGATGTGAAGGTGCACGTGATGGGCCCCGATATGATGATCGATATTGTCTGCGATGATTTCAATGCTGCGAACACGTGCGCGATGTCTAGGAAGGCCAAAGTGATGAAGCTAAACGTCAGAACACAGTCTTCGCCACATGAATGCCTCAGTTCTCTGCAGCTGCAAACGCTGAGAACTTTATCCATTGAGTTGCACCGAGCGGCGTACGGCATCTTGGCATCTTCAAGTTTTTCCGCATCAGATTTCGATGCCAAGGCCAGGATTTGTTTCGGCAATCCCTTTTAGACCAAAGACACCCACCCTCGCGTTGGCGAGTTGTGAGGCGCTGTAGCTACTAGGGGTCGGCCAAATCGCTGTTTTCGGTAATCTCGTGGGTCGTTTTCATTTTCTGTTCAGTTCTGACGACGACGAAGCTAAACCGCAAACTCGGCCGACCCCTGGCTGACGCTTGCCTGAGCTGTAGCTACCTTAGCTTGCGCTCAGTTGGGCTCCCGCTCGGGACGCCTTTCGGAGCTCCTGTGCTGAACATGGTCCTCCGTCGGGATCTGTGCGCGTTCCATGAAACAGGCTGCGCTGCCAGGCATTGTCTTTCCTTGCGAGGGAGGCCTAGCGGCACGAGCAGACTGCCGCGGAACAGCTGCAGACCATGGCCGCTACCTCACCCGGCCAGAATGCATCTCACTGCCCTTGCTATGCACTCAGCGGGCTGAGACCCCCATCCTCCCACTGCTGCGCTGCCAGGCATGGTCTTTCCTTGCGAGGGCTAGCAGCTCTTTTGGAGGAACTCAGCTTTTGCGCTTGATCGCTGTCAGCGGGAACAATGGCCGCACTCCCTCCTCCCTTCTATCTCTGTCCTCCGTCTTTCTCTCGCCCTGGAGTTGGCTATCTCCTTCCTCTGGCCCGTCTGTGCGTACGAATTTTGTGATAATGAAGCTTCAGCGGCCCAAAAGGTTCCAAAGATCGTCCCAAGACGGCCCCAGAGGCCCCCCAAAGGGGCCGGAAACTGTCCAAGAGGGCCCCCATACGGCCCAAGAGTGCCCCAAGAGGGCCCCCAGACGGCCCCAAGAGAGCCCCAAGAGGGCCCCAGGCCCAGCCCCGCCCTTTAGCTGGGGGGAGAGGAAGAGGTAAAGGGATAGCGACTTGACAATGCAGTCAACCGGCATAGTAAGGATGGGCAACCTTACCGAGGGTACCTTTGCATCCTTGCCTCCTCGGTGCATCCTTCGTCGCTTTCGCTGGCCGCGCCCCGCTCGAAAAGCTTCGACACGGGCGTCCAAGGACCTTGTATCCTTATCGCGCATCGTTACTATACTGGTTGACTGTATGGGGCGTTCCAGAAAGGGCCATGCCTTCGAGGATTGAAGGAGTTGCCATCTCTCCCTCGGCGGAAGGCGGCGGACGGCCAGCGAAAGGCGGCAGAAGTAGAACGAGGCCGCCTCCGCCGGCGGAAGCTGGCGGAAGGCCGACGGAAGGAGGCGGAAGTCAAGGATGCGCCCCAAGAGATGACGCTTTCGGGCAGTCTTGGAGGTCTCTGGAGTCGTCTTGTGTAGGGCTGTATTGGGAGCCTCTTGGGCCCTATTGGGGCGCTCTTGGACCGTCTCGGGGCCCAGCTTGGTGCTTCGTGGGTCGCCCTGGCGCTATCTCTGAAGCATCTGAGGCCGTCCTCGCTCGTGGAAGCCCGAAGGGGCGATGCTCCGAAGCTCTGGAAGACCGTCGGGGCATCACCGATTGTTGGCCTCCTGAGCGCCTCCTGGAGATCCTCATAAACTCACTTTGGAGCGCCTTGGAAGCCGCTCGAGCCGTCTGGAGGCCATCTCGGGCCGTCCTGAGTGCTTCGTGGGCCGTCCTGGATGCGCCTTTGGGCCATCCTGGACCCTCTTGGGGACATCTCGGACGTATTGGAGGCACCTTGGGACCGTCTTGTAGCTCATCTTGGGCTATCTTGGCCGCCTTGGAGGCCATAGGAGAGGACTCTGTGCTTCTTCGGGGCTATTCAGTGTTGCCGCCGGGGTGTGCCAGAAGCCATGGGGAACATCTTGTCAGGGTATAAACGGTTGTTGCCCAGCACGCCAATAACGTCTCTTGCAAGTAATACAAGGGGCGGCGGATCGGAGACGCCCACGGCGAGACACCGCCGCCTCCTGCCTTTCATGGTACGCCTATGTGGCCAAACGTTTGGGCAACGTTTGGCCACGCTTGTGCGCCATTCCTTCCCCAGCCGCTGCGGAAGCCCTTTGAGGAACACGTGGGGGAGGAAGGGGAGGATGAGGAGAAGGAGGATACAGGAGGAGGAGGAGGAGAAGGAGGGAGGAGGAGGAGGAGGAGAAAGATGAGCAGCCCGCTTGGAAGCTGTTCGGGTCATTCTTGGGGCCTCCTGGGAGCTTCCTGGGGGCCTCTTGGAGGCCTCTTGGGGGCTTCCTTGGGGGCCTCCTTGGGCCTCTTGGGGGCCTTTAGGCATCTGTGGCAGTTTTGCGGCGTTCCTAGCCCGTCTGACGCCGTCAGAAGCCGTCTTGGGAGCCTCTCTGAGCCGCCTTGGGGCGTCCTTGGGCCGACATGGGGCCATCTTGACGGTCTCTATGGGCGATCTCGAGACAATCTTGGGGGCCTCCTGGGCCGTCGGAAGGCCGTGTTTGAGCAAATGACAAAGAGGCTTCTTGGGCTGTCTTCGGGGCCTCTTGGGCGCTCCTCGGGCCGTCTTGGGCTCTCTTGGACCATCTTGGCGATCTTGGATGCATCTTGGGACCGTCTTGGAAGCCATCTTGGGGCTATCTAGCGCTCTCTTGGGGCCATCTTGCCCCTGCCCGTCTTGGGGCATCTTGGAAGCCATCTTGAGCAATATCAGAGCCATCCGGAGCAGATAAATCCTTGCCAGCCGGGTTTGGACGAGTTCTCCCAGCGGCTGGCGCGCTGGGCCGAAGCCCAAGAACCTAGAGCCAGCAGACGTCTATCACGCCATGCACCCCTGTGATAAGTCAGCAGGAGGCGGCGGATGACGGAAAGAGCGATGTACGAGCAAGAGACGTTTCGCAGGGGGCGAAGCCCTTATGGGGAGGGGGTCTGGGGGAGGGGGCTAGCGGGGGAGCAAAAGTCTAGTTGCTCTCGCGCCTCGTTATTTTGTCGAGTGAAGCGGCTCCCGGGCGGCTCCCATGGCCCGTTTCCTCGTATCTGTTCGAGTGACGCGGCCCAAGGGCCCCACGACGGGCCAAGAGGGCCCCAAAGCGGCTTCAGAGGGCCCCAAGGCGGCCCCAAGAGAGCCCGCAGCCATTTGGCTCAAGGGCCCGTGTCAGATGAAGTTATCCGCCGCGTTAGTGTTTTTGGGCTATGTGCGGATTGATACATGGGCAATGGGTGAATCAAGGTCTAACTCAACGGAAAGGGGTGCAAGACTGTGGCTTCATGTGGGCCCCCACAAAACTGCTTCGACAACAATTCAGAAACAACTTGAAGCTTGGCAGACCTCTCTAACAAGTGACGGCTGGACGTGGGAAGACCCTGCGCAGTTCGGACACATTATGCATGTACGAATGACTCAAATCGCGAATGTTGCAGAGTGTTATCTGTCGTCCCAGTCCATGTGCAGGGACTACACAGAAACAATTTGTTCAGATTGGCTGCACTTTCTTGACCAGCTCAAAGGAACTTCAAAAAAGGTAGTGATGTCTAGTGAGCGTTTCGACCAGATCAATGACACCAGCGTCGCACAGCTCGCGTTTGACTTAAGCTACATCAGTACCACCATCGTGATGGTTTACCGACCATTTTACGATTGGATCGCAAGTTGGTATCGGCAGCTCAAGGCTCACGGGCAGGTTGAATTGGCCTTCGCAGATTGGCGAAGCGTTTCACAGATGGAGTACTACGCGTACAATTACTCATTCACGACTTCTCTACATAGTCGCTACGCCGCTCATTTTTCTGATGTGAAGGTGCACGTGATGGGCCCCGATATGATGACCGATATTGTCTGCGATGACTTCAATGCTGCGAACACGTGCGCGACGTCTAGGAAGGCCAAAGTGATGAAGCTAAACGTCAGAACAAAGTCTTCGCCACATGAATGCCTCAGTTCTCTGCAGCTGTAAACGCTGAGAACTATATCCATTGAGTTGCACCGAGCGGCGTACGGCATCTTGGCATCTTCAAGTTGTTCCGCATCAGATTTCGATGCCAAGGCCAGGATTTGTTTCGGCAATCCCTTTTAGACCAAAGACACCCACCCTCGCGTTGGCGAGTTGTGAGGCGCTGTAGCTACTAGGGGTCGGCCAAATCGCTGTTTTCGGTAATCTCGTGGGTCGTTTTCATTCCCAACCATCCTGTGGTGTTGGGTCCTCGTTTTGAAGAGACGGTGCCCCGCGTTCTCCTTCCTTCCTTCCTTCCTTCCTTCCTTCCTTCCTTCCTTCCTTCCTTCCTCCCGCTGCCTCCTCCCCCTCCCATCATCATCATCATCAACACCCATTTCGGCACACCCCTCACACGTTTCGTGGCTCCATAGGGAGCTCCACCGAAGGCCCCAGTGCCCGCGGCCGCATGCGTCCCCCATACCCATTTCGGCACACCCCTCACACGTTTCGTGGCTCCATAGGGAGCTCCACCGAAGGCCCCAGTGCCCGCGGCCGCATGCGTCCCCCACACCCATTTCGGCACACCCCTCACACGTTTCGTGGCTCCATAGGGAGCTCCACCGAAGGCCCCAGTGCCCGCGGCCGCATGCGTCACCCACACCCATTTCGGCACACCCCTCACACGTTTCGTGGCTCCATAGGGAGCTCCACCGAAGGCCCCAGTGCCCGCGGCCGCATGCGTCCCCCACACCCATTTCGGCACACCCCTCACACGTTTCGTGGCTCCATAGGGAGCTCCACCGAAGGCCCCAGTGCCCGCGGCCGCATGCGTCCCCCACACCCATTTCGGCACACCCTCACACGTTTCGTGGCTCCATAGGGAGCTCCACCGAAGGCCCCAGTGCCCGCGGCCGCATGCGTCCCCCACACCCATTCCGGCACACTCCCTCCACCGAAGGCCCCAGTGCCCGCGGCCGCATGCGTCCCCCACACCCATTTCGGCACACCCCCCACACGTTTCGTGGCTCCATAGGGAGCTCCACCGAAGGCCCCAGTGCCCGCGGCCGCATGCGTCCCCACACCCATTTCGGCACACCCCTCACACGTTTCGTGGCTCCATAGGGAGCTCCACCGAAGGCCCCAGTGCCCGCGGCCGCATGCGTCCCCCACACCCATTTCGGCACACCCCTCACACGTTTCGTGGCTCCATAGGGAGCTCCACCGAAGGCCCCAGTGCCCGCGGCCGCATGCGTCCCCCACACCCATTTCGGCACACCCCTCACACGTTTCGTGGCTCCATAGGGAGCTCCACCGAAGGCCCCAGTGCCCGCGGCCGCATGCGTCCCCCACACCACATTTCGGCACACCCCTCACACGTTTCGTGGCTCCATAGGGAGCTCCACCGAAGGCCCCAGTGCCCGCGGCCGCATGCGTCCCCCACACCCATTTCGGCACACCCCTCACACGTTTCGTGGCTCCATAGGGAGCTCCACCGAAGGCCCCAGTGCCCGCGGCCGCATGCGTCACCCACACCCATTTCGGCACACCCCTCACACGTTTCGTGGCTCCATAGGGAGCTCCACCGAAGGCCTCCGTGCCGCCGCCCGCATGCGTCACCCCCACCCATTTCGGCACACCCCCCGCATTTCTCGCACGGCAGGGTCATCACCACGGTGGCGTGCCAGGGGCGCACCATGCGCGAAGGCGACGGGGCGGGGGAACGGCGCTCCGGGGGCGGCCAGACCTCCGGGGCGCGAGCAGTCCGCGGCCAGACCATCTCTCGGTCCTGTGGACTCTCGCCCTGGGCCGTCGGCTGCCCGGCGCGCTGCTCCCTCGGTCGACGTCGCCCAGGCGTGATCCTGGATTGCGGCCGCCACGAGGTAGGGAACGGCAAGAAGGAGGACGACGACTGGTGGCTGGAGCTCTACGCGCTGCTCTCGCGCGCCACGCGCCACGAGGACCTCCTGCTCATGCGGGCGCCGCGCATCGAGTTCTTCCTGGCAGGGCCGCCGCAGGGCTTGCGGAAGCAGCTGGAGCAGTTTGCGGCGCGCACGAAGCGGTGCAGGAGGGAAGCGACGGCCCTCGCCAGGGAGCTCGGCTTCACCGAGTTCATCCGCGAGGCCTGACCTGAGGAGCGTCTCCCCCGAGCCGCGCCTTCTCTCGACTGCCCGACTAATTGTTTGGCCTCGCGCCGCGGACGACCCGCGCGCGTCGCTGGGACCCTCTCGGGGCGACCAGCGCGCGTCGCGGGAACTCCATGCTGCGGGGGGCCCGGCGCCTCGTTCGCCCGTCGTCGCTCTGCCCAGCGGTCAGAGACTTGCCCGCTATCAGCCAGCCAGTTAGCTAGTCAGCTCTCTCTGCTTCGCGCAGCGGACGACCCGCGCGCGTCGCTGGGACCCCGCCCGGGGCGACCAGCGCGCGTCGCGGGGACTCCGCGCTGCGCTGCGCCCGCAGCCTTGGATTTTGGAGTGCGCGGGCAAAGAGGAAGGAAAAGAAGAGCCGAAAGCGGGCGCGATCCTCGCAAGAGGCGTGCCGACATGGGCGTCGCGACGTGCGGACGCTGCCGTCGGGGTTCCCGCGGAAGCTGCCTGCGGCGGCCACGCCCAGTGTCACGTGTGTTCGGACAGGCATGCTCGACACTTACACTAGGCGGTTCCATGATCGCATTCATGCAAATATATTCACTCGCGCGCAGACCCATTCATACTCAGATTCCCTCGCGCTCTGACTCACCCGCGTTCTTTCTCTCGTAATCAGATCTATCGTATTCCTTTGCGTTGTGTACCCCGCCACATTTCGGCTCACCCCTCATGCGGTTCGTGGCCCCGTAGGGAGCGCCACCGAAGAAGATACTCACAATTGCGATACTCACAACTGCATATGGTTGGGTCCTTCGCCTGGATAATTTTCAGCTCAGTTCTGACGACGACGAAGCTAAACCGCAAACTCGGCCGACCCCTGGCTGACGCTTGCCTGAGCTGTAGCTACCTTAGCTTGCGCTCAGTTGGGCTCCCGCTCGGGACGCCTTTCGGAGCTCCTGTGCTGAAGAACATGGTCCTCCGTCGGGATCTGTGCGCGTTTCATGAAACAGGCTGCGCTGCCAGGCATTGGTCTTTCCTTGCGAGGGAGGCCTAGCGGCACGAGCAGACTGCCGCGGAACAGCTGCAGACCATGGCCGCTATCTCACCCGGCCAGAATGCATCTCACTGCCCTTGCTATGCACTCAGCGGGCTGAGACCCCCATCCTCCCACAGCTGCGCTGCCAGGCATGGTCTTTCCTTGCGAGGGCTAGCAGCTCCTTTGGAGGAACTCAGCTTTTGCGCTTGACCGCTGTCAGCGGGAACAATGGCCGCACTCCCTCCTCCCTTCTATCTCTGTCCTCCGTCTTTCTCTCGCCCTGGAGTTGGCTATCTCCTTCCTCTGGCCCGTCTGTACGTACGAATTCTGTGATAGTCCCAAGACGGGCCAGAGGATCGTCCCAAGACGGCCCCAGAGGCCCCCCAAAGGGGCCGGAAACTGTCCAAGAGGGCCCCCATACGGCCCAAGAGTGCCCCAAGAGGGCCCCCAGACGGCCCCAAGAGAGCCCCAAGAGGGCCCCAGGCCCAGCCCCGCCCTTTAGCTGGGGGGAGAGGAAGAGGTAAAGGGATAGCGACTTGACAATGCAGTCAACCTGCATAGTAAGGATGGGCAACCTTACCGAGGGTACCCTTGCATCCTTGCCTCCTCGGTGCATCCTTCGTCGCTTTCGCTGGCCGCGCCCCGCTCGAAAAGCTTCGACACGGGCGTCCAAGGACCTTGTATCCTTATCGCGCATCGTTACTATACTGGTTGACTGTATGGGGCGTTCCAGAAAGGGCCATGCCTTCGAGGATTGAAGGAGTTGCCATCTCTCCCTCGGCGGAAGGCGGCGGACGGCCAGCGAAAGGCGGCAGAAGTAGAACGAGGCCGCCTCCGCCGGCGGAAGCTGGCGGAAGGCCGACGGAAGGAGGCGGAAGTCAAGGATGCGCCCCAAGAGATGACGCTTTCGGGCAGTCTTGGAGGTCTCTGGAGTCGTCTTGCGTAGGGCTGTATTGGGAGCCTCTTGGGCCCTATTGGGGCGCTCTTGGACCGTCTCGGGGCCCAGCTTGGTGCTTCGTGGGTCGCCCTGGCGCTATCTTTGAAGCATCTGAGGCCGTCCTCGCTCGTGGAAGCCCGAAGGGGCGATGCTCCGAAGCTTTGGAACACCGTCGGGGCATCACTGACTGTTGGCCTCCTGAGCGCCTCCTGGAGATCCTCGTAAAATCACTTTGGAGCGCCTTAGAAGCCGCTTGAGCCGTCTGGAGGCCATCTCGGGCCGTCCTGAGTGCTTCGTGGGCCGTCTTGGATGCGCCTTTGGGCCATCCTGGACCCTCTTAGGGACATCTCGGACGTATTGGAGGCACCTTGGGACCGTCTTGTAGCTCATCTTGGGCCATCTTGGCCGCCTTGGAGGCCATAGGAGAGGACTCTGTGCTTCTTCGGGGCTATTCAGTGTTGCCGCCGGGGTGTGCCAGAAGCCATGGGGAACATCTTGTCAGGGTATAAACGGTTGTTGCCCAGCACGCCAATAACGTCTCTTGCAAGTAATACAAGGGGCGGCGGATCGGAGACGCCCACGGCGAGACACCGCCGCCTCCTGCCTTTCATGGTACGCCTATGTGGCCAAACGTTTGGGCAACGTTTGGCCACGCTTGTGCGCCATTCCTTCCCCAGCCGCTGCGGAAGCCCTTTGAGGAACACGTGGGGGAGGAAGGGGAGGATGAGGAGAAGGAGGATACAGGAGGAGGAGGAGGAGGAGGAGGAGGAGGAGGAGGAGGAGGAGGAGAAAGATGAGCAGCCCGCTTGGAAGCTGTTCGGGTCATTCTTGGGGCCTCCTGGGAGCTTCCTGGGGGCCTCTTGGAGGCCTCTTGGGGGCTTCCTTGGGGGCCTCCTTGGGCCTCTTGGGGGCCTTTAGGCATCTGTGGCAGTTTTGCGGCGTTCCTAGCCCGTCTGACGCCGTCAGA